CGAATCTAACTCAGCCCCCCATACAACAATAGGAACACTTCACCCAGTCAGTCTGATCACTGAGTGCGACTAGTACGTTGGTAATCACCGGTCTCACATTACTCTGTTTGAAACTGACCGCCTTAATTGCGCATCTCCAAGTCATGGCCGGGGGCCCACAAGCTCTACGACGACAAGAGTTTGGTGTTAGTAGGCGGGCATACGTAGTCTATATCCTAAATACCTTCATGTGATAGGCCTCACTTGCTGCTGTGATGATCGTGGTTCATCACTAAATACTTGCATTCATGTTCCCAAATCAATTCGAATGATCTAGTTGGAGAACACGAACTTTAAGGAAAGTAGCGGTTGTTGATCGGATGGTGATCGATCTGTTCGCCGAGCTTGGCAATTGGCTTGCCTAGGTTTCGCCCCCGGTCAAGGAGACATCGTCAGTGCGCAGTTGAGTGAGTGCCTTCATCTTGTCTAGCTGCGCCTATATAGTGTTCGGAGAGTATTCAATAGCCTCTCCCGTGATTGGCTAATCGGAATGTACCTCACCTGTGATAATATTGACCTAATCACGATTTGCGCTGCACTGTGGTTTGTTAATCTTGTATTCCACTATTTGGTTGGAAGGCTCCTTTCGGGTGTTTTAGGTTCGTTTTCGATTGGCCCGTCCCCGGTTTGCGTTGCTTTGTGGTCTTTCTTCCTTGAAACTCATTGGTCTTAGTGGCGATTTCTATTTTTGGCTCTCATTCTGCAATACTCTTCTTTTGTGATCTTTCGAAGCTCTTGGAATTCCTTCAGGTTTCTATTGATTTTGTTCACAAGTTTTTGGTTTGGTCATTCTCGATGTGGCGATACGTTCAGTAGGCCTTCGCATCATTGATGTAGTCTGGCTCGTCTATGACGACTGTCAGGCGCCCCTTGTCAACCGGTGTCTCGTTTTTCCTAGCTTTTTCACTGATTACTTTTGTTTCCTTGGGAGAGTGCTGAGTGCTTTGTCACGTGGGATGGCTGGAACTGCGGCTTGGTGGGGATGATGCTACTTATAAACTAGCTAGGTTCGTGACGTCTTTGGAGTTGAAATTGAGTCCTCTGGTTATAACGCCCTCTTCTGCTTCTGTGAGCTGTCTGATGTGAAGGTTCTTTATCCCACCATCGTGGTTAGTTCATTTTTCCTGGTTACCAACCAGCCAAACGAGTTTATTTTCAAGACAGTTTTTCATTTTTTTTAGCGGTGGATATGGATCTTCGTTCTATTGCAGTGCTGGTCACTGTGGAAGTTCGGGTCCCAATACCCTCAGGCCGCCTTATGCACACTGATTATTCTCTCGTACTTTCTAATGCATTTGCAATCATTAGCCTGACCAGCCGCTTACCATTGTGCTTGGACAAGGTCCAAGCTTAGAGATGATGCAGTGTTGGTCCACAGGTTACGCTACGAGGAAGGATGCATCTTCGCAGACATTCAACGAGGAAGTGCAGTTGTTGTCGTGTGGAGGCTTGACCGCAGGCGAAAATCCCTCATCGACGAGATGTTTTGAGCGTGCGACGCCAGAACTGGTTGTCAGCGTGTTGTAGTATTGGTAGCTCGGGTGTTTACTGGAGTTGATCAGATGGAATTTGTCGGTACGTCTCAACTAACTTTTACGTCTCCAAATTAATCAGCGAACACAAAAGAAACACAAAGCAAAAATTCAGCCACTAATTAGACAACTAAAAGAATGAATGGAAGTCTGGTGATAAGAATGAATTTCGTTCTCGGTTGATTGATCGATGGCCAATTTGATCAGGTTGACTGGTCAGTCGGACGAAATAGGCTGGTGGCAATCAATTCGGCCGCATCAAACGTCAACTATCCGTTTTCGATCGATTACTTGGAATCTGATAGATGATACTAAATGATTGAGTCGAGCTGACCAGCTGACAAGTATCCATTGAATGGTTTAGGACTACGCTGTTTCTAGATTACTTAAACCGCATTCAGAGAAACTGTAGATGGTGCTCTGAGATTCTGTGTCCTTAGACCCATAAAGTTCGTCAAGCGGGCGCAAAGGAATGAATAGATGACCATTGATGAGCCAAGATCAGATAGGTTATCTTCGGAATCCGTATTGAGCATTAGTGAATTGTGAAACGAAGACTTTAGCTCGGCTGCATTAAAGTTCTTCTGACCAACTGTTTTATCTTATGTATAACGTAACGTATGTATAACGTAATCTGAAGCATTGTCACTCCAGAATGGTAGCCGTATATACACTGGCTTCTTGTCGACAGGTCAGCAGGCCAACCCGACTGTCATTTAGTACTACCAAAAATCGGATTCCAAACAATCTATCGGAAACTAATAGTTGAATTTGGATGCGGCCGAGTCGAACGCCACCAGCCTATTGCATCCAACTCTGTGTGCAGTCAAAGTGACCGAAATGGCGATCAAGCGACCAACCAGCCATTCTTGTCATCAGACTGTCACTCACTCCGTTAGTTGTCTTCCGAAATGTTGCTTTCTGTTTCTGTTTGTTCATTAAGATGCAACTGTGAAGACTAGCTGAGAACTGCTAACTTCCGTACTCTCAAGGCAAATGAAAATATTCACCATCTTCAAATCTAGCTAAAGCTACTGTTTTTAACTGGCACTAGTGGAAGGTTATCTGGCTCGACAACCCGATAGAGTTTCAAGACAGAAAGGTACATTGATGAGCGAGAATCTAAACTCACATACCATGGCTCCAGCAGGGTGGATCGAATGAGAGATACAAGTATAGACACCGATTGCCAAATAGACCGTTTTTAAGGATATTCTGCCCATCGACCTAGGTATGGGTTTCTGTTGTACATTAGATTTCGAGCATTACCATGAATAAGGCTACAAACGGACGGTCTCCTGAGTCATGTTTCCCGAATTGGTTGGAACAGCTTCCTGCATTCCCTGATGTGCTGACTTCCTCGACTGTTTGAGTTTACAAGTTTCACCACGCCTTTTTATCCCAACACAAGCATCGTTTTAGACCGCCAGGCCGAATTATGCTGCGGTCCCGGAGGGATACAATGACTTGTTCTTAGAAGTGACAACAACCAGTGGTTAGTATGTGCTCGGAAATACCATATGCAGTTTCAAACGTCAATTAGAGTGATTACCTCCTGCTGTCTTATGTGGAAGTCGTAATCAAAGCAACATTTACCAGATTTTGAAACGCATGATTAATCCGTCGTTCGGAAACCTTTTTGACTGCCAAGTTTATTCTTAGGTGGGAAATGAAAACTGGATCGGATATGAAAGTGATCAGATTCGGAACAATCAGCANTTTAATACCAAGGCATGAGGCTTGAATGTTTTCTTCCAAATGAAAATAATATATGACTTACCTTCCCAGGAAACGTGGTTAATGTACCTCGGAGAGGTGCAATATAGTTCGACCATTCAGTAGACGAATAACGTCGAATTACTGCTAATTCCATCATATCAACGAGAGGAGTGAGTGCTTCTTGTAACAAGTACTGGAGAACTACGTTGATTGGAAGAATTTCACCGACACAGGACGGCTCTTTAGAGGAAGACTGTGGGTCACCGAGGTCGGGCGACGGCTCCACAACGCGGATAAACCTAGGCATGAGGTGAACGACAGGACATCCATCCGTGATGCCCAGTGGTCTCCAGGAGAGATCCAGTAATTCCAGTAATTCAACAAAAACGTACTGCGTGATCAAGTCCAGAGCACGCACAGTGAAAAGCTGGGGAGGTGATCGTAAAAAGGGTGTAGTTAGTACCAGAAAGGTGAATAATGCACTGTTGAAAAAACGAGATGTACATTGGCTGCTTACCTCTGGGAAGTCTTCTTCGATGGGGAATATGTCATAAAGTAGGTTGAAGCGTAAAAGTTGGCACGGAGGAGGCTATGAAAGCAACAAAATCAAATAAAATTATGAAGTGAATAATAAGAACATCGAAGTGATCGATGAGCACCCGGAAACAGCTACGTGCTTAGGTTAGGAATAAGTGGAAAACACAGTCGAAAACCTGCGAATGAAGTGGGAAAAAGCAGAGGATGCAGTGCAAGAACTGGGTCAAAATGACAAACTTTTTCAGCACTTGCCAGAAGGACGACCTTTTTCGTCTGAGTTAGTAATACAGTGGTAGTTATGGCTAACCGATAAGTGGTATGATCGTCTACATTTAGGACATGAGCCATCGTCTTAGGCGACTACGAAGTGGATTATCAAACATGCCAAACTACACAGGGGGATACTACTAAGCGACGTCAATAAATTGGAGCAAATACGAAAAAGGGCAGCTGCAACTGGCGGCTAACGTTAAGTGACTAAGTGGATAATCGAGATATTTCTCAGGAGGGTAATTCTCGTTATTCAAACGGTCGGCCAGATGAACGCCACAAGCGTAGCTTGTTCGTTTGGTGCAGTGATGTTAAAACAATAAACTGGTGATTCAATTGTTCATCGTCGATCAATACAAGACCATTTGTAGGTCCTTGAACAAGCAAGTCCGTGTCGATAGTTCGTACGATGTTATCCGTTTAGATGGATGGTCTTGAAGCATTTTAGAGTTACATAGTGCTTTGTTGGTGTAGTTGTGAATGACTTGCGGCCATTGAAGGGATCCTCATTGGAAAGAGAAGTATTGCACGCTATTTAACTCACCAAAATTTTACAAGCAGTGGGAAAACTTACCGAATCTAATTTGTAATGGAGAAAAAGTGAGAAGCCTTCAAATACGTAATCGTTTCCATTGAAAGGTATGGTTGTCGGACAAGCTTGCACAAAGTTAGTGGTTGGAATGATAAGCACACGGTAGTGATAGAGACGGTCACGGTTATTCGACTCTTGTGCACATTCAGGTAGCCTCTGAGTAAAAAAGATACACATGAATGAAACATGAAAAAACTACACTTATCACAGAGAATAGGTCCGAATAAGCTGACTAAGAGAAGACGACCTAAGAATGGACCAATGGAACAGAGGAACAGAGTAATCCAATATAGATTGCTAGTAGATTTTTGCAGTGATAAGCACCAAACAAGCGTGCAAAAATTCCTAAATAAGAGCAACAGAAAAAAGGTGTCAGTAATGTGTTCCTCGATTTCTAGACAACAAAAGTTTTGTGTGCGCCTGAGGATGAACCATTTCTCTGGCCTCTGGGAGTTTCCTCATATGTTGGCTCAAGGGATGTTATAAGCACTTTCAACCGTTGCACAGCCGAACGAATCCCACGACAAAACAAGTCATGATTCTATGATATCCAGTAACCGGTAGGCTCTAGTTCAGCCCTTCAACATTTGCCAGGGACTATCATGGGACGATATCCACTTCTGAGCACGTGTTGGACGGAAATTATCTGCCGGTCGTCATATCCCTACAAATTACGGTCTTGAGCTTACTTGATGCACCCAGAGTGCATCGAATGTCACTTGCCCAGAGAGATATCAGAGGTGAAACTTTGCTGCGTGTATAAGAGACCTAGCAAAAGACATTCATCGAAGGCAACCAACTGAACGCTATAGACACTAATTTGATGAATCGTTAGTGATTTTACAACGATCCAAGCTCTGAAACCCCTGTCTGGCAGTATTGCGAAATATGAATAACTCAAGTGTATGACCTAGCCGTTAGTTTTTCTGCGCAATTACCTGTTCAACATTCAATGGAGTAAGCTTTATAAGCGGAATTCAGAATTGAGACATAGTAGAGCTAGGAACAGGTCAATTATGAAAATTATGACAGTGCTAACAAACCTCCTCGCCCTCGTATTGATTGTGTAACGGGCCGATACGGTACTTGGGCTGGCAAGAGCAAGCTGGGCCGTCATTAAACTCTTGAGCTTCGTTGTGCCAAATATCTGGATGAAGCCGACTGGGATGTGAGAGTTTGTAAGCTACCTCTCGTTGTTGTCGAATCGACCGTTGTCCAATGGGATGATCACCAGCGATCTGCTTGGATGAACGCTGCGCCCGTTTGCCCATTCCTCCAGACATGTCTCCGGTCTGTCCGTCTTCTGGCCGAGGATTTTTGCAAGTCTTTTGTTTTACATTCAACCGACGAGCACAATCAACAGACGTCTGAAACGAAAAGGCTAGGAGCTGAGTTCACCACATCTAACTAGCTAATAACAACAAAAATTTCAGATATAATCATGTAAGACAAGTAGAGTACGTCTCAAAACATGCCACTTGATTCGAACTGGGTTTTATAATCAAACCAGAATAATACAAGATTCGGTCACTGAGGATATTCGCAGGAAGTTATAGAAGCCAACAGTAATAATAATTAGCAACTTTTCATGGAGTTTCCTGTATGACGTTAGGGCTCACCAAAAAAAGGGTCAAATTATCACCAGAGAGATCCAGGATGTGTCCAGTTATGGAAATACGATTCCGCCCGACGAGTTCTCCGATTTTCGTAGGCTGTATAGTGTATAGTAGTGGTAGTATAGTATTTTTGGGACGGGAAAACACGTTACCACGAGACAAAGGAATAATGGAAGTAGATAGTATCAACATATTAGGAGCACTACGAGATGTACGTTGAGAACTGCTGAGCACATCAAGAGGATACAATTGTATGTTCCTAAATGGGGAGACCAGTCACGAAAACCAATAGTTGATGGAAGTGTCGATTGGCCACTGAGGGCCCATTTGAGCACTTTCGGCGGCCCGTCAAATGCAAACGTGCAACTCGCTGCCCTGCAGACAAACCGAACATACTGCGAATCTTGAATGACATTATCTTACAAGCGTCCATTAGGAAAAATGAGTTAATCTATGTGTTCAAATACAACAGAAAACTATTCTTGACCAGTGACACACATCAGGTAAATACGAATGGAACAGAGCCCTAAAGAGAGCACCACAGGGATCGGTGCAACAACGTCAATAGAATTCACGCACGTAAAACTTCTCTTGTTTTTCAGTGGTTATCGGTTATCAATACAAACTATGATCGAGGATCCAATGCATAAACCAGGCATCATTATCATTAGCAGCTGTAAGAATCGCGTACTTGTCGTACAGTGGTTGTAGCCGCCAGTTTCGTTCACTGACGATTGGGGAAGGTGGGGTAGATAGCTGCGCATTGGAGTTGGGAGCTGATGAATTGGTGCATAAATACAAGACTGTCAGTGGGGTGATAAGGAGGGGAATTGGGAAGGGAGCTATGCTTGAATGTACGAACGTCATTGAGGGCGTGTGACTGGACCATGTCTAACAATGTCTCTAACCACTGATGTGGTCCGTCTCAGGGTCCCCATCCAGGAAGACGGCAATGACCAGCGCAGCTGAGTTTGCTGGCAGCGGCCATTATACTTCGCTGTTTGTTTGGGAGGGAGATGCCTCAGTGGTTAGAGTGCAAATTTACTGACCGAAAGGTTCGTAATTCGAACCCGACTTCAACCTCTCGACTTCTCCTGTCTAGGCTTGGGCAACATGGAAGGATGGTACATTTGACCTCTTACCCCGTCCGTAAGTTCAGTACTGTTCCCGAACAATCGGGGTCGTTTGGCTGGGAGTGGTGATCCATCGTCTGGAACGAATTCACTATCACACGAAAGCTCATCGAGGGTGTCTGAAGAAACAGACCACTCGTCATTCTGCTCCAAACGGTCAGTGTTGCTTGCCATTCCAAATGGAAGGTCTGCTTGTCCCTTAGAAATTCTCGAACTGGTAGCAGAACACCAGCCTCCACCTGCAAAAATAAAGGTATGCTGAGGAAACACAACCTACAGTTGTAAAAAAATTCAAAACACGGCTGAAAGACATGAAGTTCATGAGAAGTTCATGACACGAGGTTCAAGCCCACACTAGGTATTCAACAAAAGGCTCCATCTTTTAAAGGATATGTAACGATATGACGACGATGAAAGACATGACAACAAAATGTTAAGGGAATGTTGCAGCTATCAGATTTGATCTCACGAATACATGAATACAAGAAACGTACCAGATTTGTGTGAAATGTGGCGAACCAAAGGTTTACGTTCCTCCTGACCCGCGGTTGCTCGGGCTCGGCGTGAAACAACCTCTTCGAAAAATCGGTTTTCCAGATCCACCAGCAAGTCAGTTGCGTGATAACAGCCTGTCTGTATGTAGTGAGGGCATGAAAGGTGAGCTATGACACAATACTTAGCAAAGATCAACTGAAACAAATATCCATCTAAATCTGTGTAACCCCGTAAGCATAGGGAACAAGACCATTTATTCATTCGACGTTGTTCTAACGGGAAAGCCTACTTACATATAGAGATAGCACGGATACTTTCACTTGTTGCAACCATAGCAGAACAACTATTACGTGCTTCAAGGATAGGGTGGAAAGGACCGACGATTATCATAGGAGCTTCAGGCGGCGAAGTCATGGCTCATAGTAGGAGCTAGGTGACCGCTGCGATCCGACAACCGAACAAGGCGCAGGTGTGTAAGTGTTGACGGATCGGAAGCACTAAAGTAAAAAGCAAAGTCTATCGGGGTTTTGGAGGATATACTGCCATCATCATCATCATCATCATCATATCATTCATTGTCAGCTGTAAGAACTGCGTACTTGTCGTACAGTGGTTGCAGCTACCAGTTTCGTTCACCGATGATTTGGGGAGGTGAGGCAGATAGCTGCGCACTGGAGGATGAAGCTGATAAATTCGTGCGTAAATACAGAACTGTCAGTGGACTGTTAAGTGGGATGGGTGGGAGGGGAGCTATGTATGCAATAGCTTGCATGCACGAGCACCATTGAGGGCGCAACTGGACAATATCTCCAACCATTGATATGGACCATCTCGGGGTCCTCATCCAGGAAGACAGCAATGAGTTTGCTGTTAATGGCTTTTGTACTTCGCTGCCAAGTCATTGTTTGACCGCCTCTGGCTCTCTTCCACCCTTCAAGTGGTTGTGCGAAAAGAGCCCTTCGAGGAAGTCGGTCGACTGACATACGCAGCACGTGGCCAAGCCAGTGCAACCGATGCAGTGTGATCAGTGTGATCTATCGAGGATGAGTTACTACTTCCGAATATCATTCGACGAACTCCACCATTGCTTATCTGGTGTTCCAACCAGACTCAGGCAATGCTCCTAAGAAATCGGAACGAGATAGCTCAGTGATTAGAGCGCGAATTTACTGAACGGAAGGTCCGTGGTTCGGATTCGATCTCTGCCTCTTAACATCCCATATGTGGCAATCTGGCAGTATCCTAGCCCTCGTGCTTCCTTTAGGCGGCATGGAAGCCAGGCACCGAAAGGATGTTACAGGTGAACGGTTTTATTCCGTAGACATTGATGTTCAAACACCGAAATTCTTTTAAAATCTTCAGCGGGCAACTACCGGGTTTCTGATCCGCATAGTAGTATGGAGCGCACCGCAGCATTGTAAACTGACGGATAGGTTGGTGTAACGCCTACGCCACAGGTGACGCAGGTTCACAAAAGCTGCTCTTACCTTCCCAATCCGGATGGAAATTTCATCTTTCGTGAGACCACCGGGACTGATACAGCTGCCCAGATAAACAAATTTATCTACTACCTCAGTCTGTTCACCCGTAAGCATGAGGCTGAGGTTCGAGCCCACCCAGTCTTGCAGTAGCTTTTTACACCCCGCAGGTGTGAAGCGCATGCCGTACAACCAAAGTACACTATTGGAGTGAAAAGAAGGCATACACCCTTTTTAATCTCGTAACAAAGTCCTACCCACAAGCACTAGGAGAATTTCCTGTGCTTACTTCACTGAAGCATTAATAAGGCATTATTAGTGAAAACCAATAGCACCGTGTTTTACCGACCAAGAAGCACAGATGCAGGCTTTGGTGGCCATTGTAGTGTCCCAGGCGAGAGCAGCACGTAAGGGCTAAACGGTATGGGTTTAGGTCACCTTAAAATTCGGCCACCTACAAGTGCGACCAGCACCAGCTGCTATATACAGCTTGAGCTGCTTTGGTTTTGTGCGTTGTAATAACTGACCACGACCCTTCCTGATAACTCATACACTCGATTTCCTCTACTATAAAAGATACGAATCCGTTGTAGCACCCTTCCGGTGCCTAGCTGCCATGCCACCCGAAGGGCTGGAATCCTGCCAGGTTGCCCAAGCCTACGCAGGGGAAGTCGAGAAGTAGAGGTCGGGTTCGAACCACGGACCTTCCAGTCAGTGAATTCGCACTCTAACCACTTGGGTCATCACGCCCAGTAAGTTACACAAGTATATCGAGCAGTGCTGGCATTCACTGTGTCACACTAATTCAGAGAAAAGAGCGGTGTTACTAAAACCACGAACACCGTGATAAACAAGAGTTAGAAACTGCAGCCAATTTGGCTGCAAAAGCTTCATCCTTAACCGAGGTGACATCATCAGTGAGTGGTAAGCAGATGGATCGGCGGTTGTGGTGAAAAAAACGAGGCCTTGTGCAGGATGATGAATTCATTCAGTAATAAGTTATACTTCCGAAGAAGGACTGGTACGTATGGTGCTATGCGATAACTGCATACTAAGCAAAGGTGAGGAGACAGTGGAGTAAAATACGAACCTTTTCATCATAACGAAAATATTCCGACGCCGGGGCACAAACCAATTTCGAGTAACGAACCGGCTCTGTCGGTTTGCTATGAGAAATAGGGGAGTCCGCAGATTTCGAAGGTTCCGTTTTAAGACGCCTAGAGACGAAAGAGGACAAAGTCGGGTTTTCGTACAGTCACTTAAGTCGCAAATATAGGTTCAATATGTTCCAAGTTAAGAAATGGTATGAACATAAACGATCGGTATGAGTGGATGAGAGGATAACTGAATATTATAAGGCCACCACTAGTAACTCGGAAAGATCGCCTATTGACGAACCCTACGAAAAAGTCACACTTGGTTTGAAAAAAAGACTACTGGATCGTCCTCCCATATTCAAGATTTAGATTTATCAGATCTGCCGATCACCAAACAAAGCACTCACGAACATTGTGTTGTCGCAGCAACGAGACCAAGCTAGCTACCGTTCGAATCGATTTGAATCAAAAAGCACTGCTAGGGAGGCACGAGTCAAAACCTAGATCAGAGGCACGCCACGAATATGATAACGTTGATGCGTGAATGGAAATAAATGCGACCGAGACACACACACTCGCTTACAGCTTCAAGACCTTGACCTACAAATGGTCAGAATTTATGTTCGGACCAGGATGCTGTGCCCCCACACTGTACTTATTCATTTCAAAAGACTTCAACTGTTACACTTGGTGTAATCGAAATACCGGTAGAGTTTTTATTATCCACTTAGCCCATGTTTTGATTTTATAACGATCTCCATGAAAATCAATTGAAGACAATGATAAAGTTGCCTGACCGATAACAGCTAACAGCGCTGCACCATTAAGTATAGTCTTAGGGAGGAGACCGAACATAGTAGCCAGTGTGTGATGCAACCACCTTTAACTGTATACCAATCTAATATGGAAGCCATTAAAATTGGCTATTAAAGTATGCACATCCACAGATGACCATCAGCTGTAAAGATCTGTGAACGTATGCTATATATATATATATATATAT